GTTTTCAATGGGAATTTTCGCAAATTTAAAACCGACATTTGTTAATTTGGAGTGGTCACCCACAGCTGCATCGACTTTTTTTTCGCCCCTTGACAGCTGGTGCTATTCTCATCTCGTCATCGCCCCCTAACGTCATCGGCCAGTGTCGACATCTCGTCCAATTAGAGTTGTGGTGCGTTTACATTGGTGTTCCACTTAGTTTCTGCTCTGCCGCGGTTCAGTTCTCACACAGGTCAACTTATACTTTTCCGCACGCAGAGCAACGTCCGAGAGGCCTCGCAGACCCCTGAAAGGCCATGCAATGGTTGATGAATGTTGTCTCCGTGTGACATATCATAAATGTTGCCCTGGCTACGCGGTTACTTCCTCCATCCAGGATATTGGTGTCCCGAAAAGTAACCCCAATGTTTCACCATTCAATGCAACAGGTCCATCCTCATCACTGTCCGCGCGTGTTCTTTCATACGCGCCCTTTATCGTTTGACGGCCTCTCCCACCTCTGGTATTGGACCCTTGGTTTTAGGATTATATTCCAGTGGCTACTTTGATGCCCGATCCTCGGTGGTCGTAGGCGACTAAAGACTGGCTTATTGGCCGTTATTAATAAGCAGATAAGTCCCAAGATTAAAAGGATTGAATAGGTCTCGGTGTGCCACGTGCGTGTAACAAACGCCACTTTCGTAGCAATTAACAGCCTCAACCGCGGCTAATGTGATAGCGAGTCCATAGTTTGGTGGAAGAGCGTTTGATTCGACGTTTTATGACGAAAAATAGTATTACAGCCTCAAGTTATACAGAATCTACAGCCAACAATCATCGATCTGGTCGGACGACCAGATGTTGTCGATATTCCAACTACATATTGTTCATCGCTGCAAGGTAATATATAATTCGTATATTCTTTTTAGCAATGAGAGCAGGGAAAGGTTGCATTTTCAACTTTCTCCCTAAAAATGGACGTTTCTTTCTGAAGGCTTCGTTTTTTCCAGGCTATTTTCGGAAGTTGACGGTGTAAATTGGCTGTCTGCGCATGGTTCTGGAATTTCGGCGCAAGTCAACGGGAAGGGGGAGTGTTTTCGAGAGCCCTAACAGGTGACCTTATCCCTGCTTCCACCCCCCGCATACAGACACATACTCCCTGTGAGAATAACCAGACTGCACCAAGGGGCCGAATTTATCATTTAAAAAGAACCAGCCCATTAGCCAGCGCCGCGGGGGAATGTTAACGTATTAGGTCTGGAGTGGTCGCTGC